GAGACAGGATACAGAGCCTGCCAGGAGAACCTTGCTCAGTACCTGTTGCTAGCCTTGAACTATAGGTGGGCATGAACAAATTGAGAGGAATAAAAGACAGACAGGTACCTTTGTCATCTCGTTCTGATAAATAAGAAATACTTTGATGTGCAGTTGAAGTGGCACATCAAAGCGGGTCTCAGTCGTGGCCACAACTGGCACAAGCATTTGTGCTGTCACCTGTCAAAGCAGATTTGATTGCTCTCTGGTTGGGATAAGAGAGAACCAAACCCAGAGTCTTTCTGGCGATTCCCCGCCTCAGTGTAATGTGCAGAGTTTGTGGTAGTACAGATGTCTGGGCTAGGGCCGGGCGGCTGAGCAGCCGGGATAGCAGATGTTCAGAAGAGAGTGAGGATTGCTTTTTTGGTTTTTATCTCCCCACAAAGACTGTCAGTTTGTTTGTGTTAAAATGAAGGCTTTTCTGTCTCTTTTTCTTTTTTTTCCTTTTCTTTTTCATTTTCTCCTCCTCCTCACCATTCCCTGAGGTATCCCTGGGGGCAGTGCCCACCAGAGGCCACCTTGGTCCTGGTCAAGGACGGTTAGTGGAGCACTCCCTGGTCCTGCTGCTCAGCCAGAGGTTTGAGATTAGGCATAGTCAGTTCTGGGCAGCAGAGAGCCTTGTGGAACCAGGAGTTCTTGAGACCTGTACCTCTGTTCCGAGGGACTACATCTTGTATGCCAGCAGACCCTGGCTCTGGCTGCCGTTTCCTGCCTTGACACAAAAGCTCTATTTAAAGCCTAAATCCTGTGATCAGTAAATAATACCAGTGAGGTACTTCATGACGTTTTATGTAAAAAGACATTTACTTCTGTTAAGTATTAAACTCGACCGTCATGTCTGTAAGGGGAGACATTAAGGAGGGATTTCTGGGAGGAGAACCATTTGCTACCCCGACTCTAAAGTGCAGGAGGTGTCCTTTAACCGCAGGGAACGGCGGAGCGCTGCCTTCAGCCCTTCTGAGGGAGCTTGGGGCTCAGTCTCAGCGTGCTGGACTAGCACTGGCTGCTTGAAGGATGACCATAGAGATGAAGGGTAAAAGAAGAAAGCTGCAAGATGGAAAGTTAGCTATGAGGAAGGAAAATTCTCACAGTGAGGGTGGTCAGGTAGCGGAACAGGGCCCAGAGGGGTTACGGGCTCCTCATCCCTGGAGATGCTCAGAATCCAACGGTGAGAGGCTCTGAGCTGCCTGGACCAGGCGACTGCCAGAGGTCACTTCTAGCTGAAATTTTTCCTGTGGTTCTGTGAAATATTTGTATCATTTATAACATTAATAATTAATGCCAGAAGAGTGTAAAAAGTACCGAACAAAGTACTCTCTTCAGCTGCAGTGTTTTAACATTCACAGTTGTGAGAAGAAAGTGTTCAGAAAACTGCAGAGTTAAGAATAACCTTCTATTTAGGAATGCCAGATACGGTCGTGGGGTTACTGTGAGTGTGTCAGGTAACCTGGAACCTTTGCTGTCAGAATTTTAATGAGCATTAGGACTGTTCTGCTGCCTTGGTCTCTCCTCAAGGCTAAAAGTACTTTGGCTGGATGCTTTTTGAGGTAAACATTAAGAATCTCTGCTCCACAGCTGATGACATGAAAAGCAGTCAGCGCCGGCTGACTCTTACTCCCTGATTTAATCCCAGTGGTCTAAACCTGGTAGTTCTCTTCAGACATTAAGACCTGCACGTTCTTTTTGTGAAGTGTAGCCTGCGTGTGTGAGGTGGCTGTGAAGGTGTCCCACTGGGTGCCCAGAGCAGCCGGCACGGGGGCTCCGGGATCTCCCCTGGGACTGTCCCAAGCCACAAGCAGTCTAGTGGTGCTAAGAAGTGGATGAGGAGAGAGGCTTCTGTCTCCCTTATCTTGTAAAAAAAAAAGGTGAACTAACTTTTAAAGTGCTAAAAATCTCCATAAAAACTGTAAAAGCTGACACAGGAAATGGTATGTTTCCAGTGTTAGCTCTGGTTATTCCATTGGAGTGATTGCCTTGCTAAACTGGCTAAAAGCCACGTTTCTAAAATCTTTGAGGGTTTGACATCTAGTCTCACGTGATTCACCTGTAAGATTCTGCCAGTAAATCGGAATGATCCCAGTGAAGGGGGGCTATGGTCTCTGCAGGAACCATATCTCATTGTGTCGGTTGGCAGCAGCTGGGTTCGTGTATCCCGCGATGATGAACGTATCCTGCAGACACAACTCGGGACTCTCCAGGATTTCCGCCAACAGGTTTATTTCTCTCATTATAGAGTCTTCATTGGTGATTCCTCTGAAGCTCCTGAAACAGTCAACTTCGTATCAAGTTCTTTTTTAAAATCTATGTTTTTTCCACAGCCTAGAAATGCCCCCTTCTAAGTGATTTAGTCATGTTTCACAAATGATACACGCTGATGGTGATTGATCTCAAACAGATAATGGGTGTTTCTTAAAATGTGCAGTGTTACGTCAGGTGCTTTGTTCCTGGCTATGCCATAGTCAGTGTTTTGAGATGCTGTTATATCACGTTTACAGATGCAGCCTTTTGCCAAGTTCTTTAGTAACCATTATTTCCCGAGTACTCCAGTTTCCTAAAGCAGGCTGCTTTAACACTGACTGAAAATCAAGTTTTACTGTATGTCAGCTTTTAGAACTCGATTTAAAAGGCATAACATGCCCAAATTGAAACCTGCCTCTTTTTACTGTTTTTACTAAAACAAAATTAAAATATTTCTTACCTGCTATAAACAATAGTAGAAGGCCACTCTTCAATGATTATGTCGGAGTCAAAAGGATGAGGGGGCTCGTCCTGCAGCACATCAGGCAGGTAGTAGGCTACTGTCACCGACCGTGTCATCTCCGACTGAGACTCGTTTGTATGGACTATGGTCACAATGGGGATTGTTATCCCCAAGTAGAGCCCTGAGGAGGGAGACATGCAGGACTTTTAGAACATTCCAGGGGAGGTCTGCATACCGTGCTGACTTCTGAATTAATATATAGTAACCAAAGAATTTCTGAGTAACATAAAGAGACTGCCAGAGCAGAAAGACTTTCACTACAAAAAGGAATTAAGTAGGATGCTTTAGAAAATGAAGTTGTGTACTCCAAGTGGAAGTAGCATTTTATTATCCCTTGTAGTTTGTGTGTGTATGTATCTCTAAAACCTACACATGCAAATATGGGTGCATGTATGTCTACAGTGTGGTGTTTGGTGAGCTCTCCCGTCTTTGTGTAGGGCAAGGAGTTTGTCTTAACTTCTTTCCCCCTCTTCAGAGGGGAGTGTTTATCTTGTAAACTGACCTTGTGTCACGTTTTAAACATTTATAGCAAACAGTGAGGCAAGCCAAGGGGGCTGCACTGTGAATTCATTTAGGAATTGCTGTTATCAAACATGCCGCTGTGTTTTGGCAGGGCTATAGGAAAAGGTTGTGATTTTGTCTGTGCAGGTAGCAGCGATGACTGGGAGGGGGAACTTTGCTTCTGTACACAGCTTGAAAACAAAACAGCACTGTTCTGGAGCCAAAATTACGTTTAAACCGTGTTAAAGTGCTAAAAGAATGGGGAGAGCAGGGAAAATACCCGATTAAGGAAAAGCTTTTGTGAACAGTGTTTTTAGTCTCTTGGAAAGAAAATGAAGGGTTGACTTGATTACAACGCATGTATTATTACAGAGCAAAACACTGGGCACTGCAATACTTTTTAATCAACCGGAGAATGAAAAAAATGAGAACAGATGGCTAGAAGTTGAAACTGGATTAAATTGGATTGGAAACTAGGTGCATATTTTTCATGCAGGCACAAGATATCAAGGACACGGTGGACTCGCCCTTATTTTAAAATAGTTGAGTTAAAACTAGACTATCTAGAAAATATGCTTCCACCACACAAATTTTGGTGTCCACTCAGACATGCACAAGTTGAGTATAAAGTAAAATGAAGGAAACAAAATATTATGTTCTCTTTTGGTGCTACATTCTATGCAGGTTCTTAGAATGGGCCATTTCAGTACTGCTGTGGAAACAAAACCACTCAAATTCTGTAGCAAAAGCCTGATTTATAGCTGCAAAAATAAGCAGTGCCAATTCCCAGGCAGCTGTGGTGGTCACAACTCCCCGGAGACAGCGGTGGCTTCCCACAGAGGTTCTCTTCAAGTGTGCGTGCAGAGGGAGCAGCACTTTGGTTTGGACTCTGCTGGAGAGGCGGGATTACAGGAAAGTGTCCCTGTAGACAGGGTGGAGCATTTGGAAACAGCTGATCAAAGTATCTCCTCAGTTAGAAGGAGCTACTGCGGAAATGCAATGCTTTAACTTTAACGTAGATTTGTGGTACCAATTACCTGAGGAATTCTGCTCACAAATGTACCTCATAAGCTTCATGAATCCAAGGCATATGCTCTGTTCATACTGTTTTTCTTTCATTTTTATACAAGCCCACTTGGCTTTGCCATACTGACGTTTTTCGTAAAGGAGATCTCCAAGCTGCAAACACAGTAAGATCAAAATTTTGTATTTTAACTGAATCACCTCAAATACCTGAGCAAGCAACAAAAGCCAAAGCATATTTCAGTGCTTTACTTAGAGCATCGAGAAACCAGTTTCCCTAGGCGTATGACCAGGAGAAGAGCAAGCATGAGGGAAGGTTTTAAGTCTTGGTGTCAGCTATTCCTGAAGCACATTCAGTTTAATACTTAGTTCACGTGTGCTGCGTTCCAGGGTCTGAGCTGGTGTATAATAAGTAGATATCCAAACCCTGTGCAGTGTGTGCATCTTACTCGAGTACAAGAATAACTGCATGTTTTTTCAACTGTCAGTGAGATGGTCTTGAAAGGAACACGTGAATTTCAGTCCTTTCTCCCGGAAATCCAGAAGGGATATGCTGCTGATCTTTGGACCAAAACTTATTTCAGCAGCCTTCCAGGTAGTTCTCCTTTAAAATCAGGAACTGCCATCTTTTGGACTTGCAGTATTAAACATTTAGTTGCAATTAACACTGGATAACCTTATTTTTATCTGTGGTTACTACAGTAGTACTGAGAAATTTCTTTTGAGTGTTTAATTACAGCATAAATAGTCAGTCCCAAATTGTTCAGATGAAATACACTCAATCAAATGGTGATATTTATAAATTTGGGTTATATAGATCTATTTAAATGGCGTGTGACAAGAAATCTTCATATATGGTTAGCAAACCTTTCTTTGCTTTGTCATATATTTAAGGTTATTGTTTCCACGTTTCTTGAGCTGTAAACAATTTGCTGGACACTTTCTATTTCTCATTGGAGGATAAGATGGGTTTGCAAACTGCTGCTTTGTTTGATAATGATCCATGATAGAAAAGTACATGTTTGGTTTTAAGCTCACGTATTAATCTTTTGGGTAATCCTTGCTAAGGTTTTGTTAACATGATTGTGTAAAGAAGCAAATGCATTGATTTAAATGAAGAAAATAGGCATTTTATTTCCAATATCAAAATATGAAGGTTTTTTGTTAAATTATAAAATGTCACAATGACTAATTCCTGGCCATTTTCGACATTCCTGCTAGTTTCTACCTTAAAAAAACCTCACACATGTATAAATGGTGATAAGTTAAAAATGAAATGTAGTTATCCAGTAACAATGCTTTGCACTTACAATGTTAAAAATCCTAAATGGCTAAAACAATTTGATGAAGAAACCTGGTTTGGGAAGCTGGGTGGGAGTGCTGCAAACACTGTTACAGCCTCAAGGGAAGGGGAGTGGTACCTTTTCTTTGCGCTGGATCAGGGTGAATGGGATGGTCTGTCTCTCCTGGGGGTTGTTATTTCTGGTCAGCTGCTGAATCGGTTCTGCCATGTCTGCAACAAAATAACACGTGTGCAATTTCAGACAGGGGCTGTAGAAAAAAGAATGTAACGGTTTAGTTCTTCCTCTGCAGGGGACTTGGTAGCTAATTTGCTCTTCAGTAGTAATTATCAAGGTGAACTGACTTCCGTGCCCTCGGGAGTTGCCCTTAAACAAGTGCCAGGGGAGGTTTTGGCGGTGCCATTTTCTGTCCCTGTGCAGACGACGCTGCCAATTCCAGCCACTCCCTTCATGCTGGATTAACGTGCATCCACATTAAGACATGAGCCGAGTTCGCTGCTCTCGTTCACAGGTTCATTACTACTGTGGGAGCTTCTGCCATTTCCAGAAGATGGTTTGTGTCCGGTATCCAAGTCCAGCGTTTGCTGTTAGCCCGTTTCAGTGCTGTGGCTGGCCAGGCCCGTGCTGCGGGCAGGCTGTTGGCTCAGTGTCCTTGGAAAGGAAGAGTGTCCTTGGCAGGAGCCTGAGGTGCTGGGGCTGGAGGGAATGAACTGACAGTGGGGCGTGGGGGGGATGGAAGCGTGGAAATGACAGATGAGGGAGGAGGAACGTGTCCTGTTAAGATAAGGAAATATGAGGAAACTTAGAATGCTTCACTTATCCCTCACTAGGGAACTGTATCTGAAGAACACCTGCAGTTGTTTCGCAAAGTAATCAGAACACAGATTTCTGTTAATAGATTTGCTTTTTGTTGTATAGTAGTTCTGTACGTACGTGCTGTCTGATTAGATGCCAAGTACATTAGATAAAAGGTTATATTTCTGTTTGGAAGGGGCAGAAGACTGTTGACTTAAAGTGAATATTAACACGCTAGCAAAACTGAATAACTTAGATAAAAGCAGGAGTAGGGCAAAGCAAGTTTCACTGTTCCGTATGTCAGGTCTGTTACACCTGGCAGCAGGAAGCGGAGTGGTTCAGCCTTCTCAAACAGTCACCACAAAACATTCCTAAAGATGAAATGGAATGTGCCAACCTCCTTTGTCTAACAGGGACACCCTGTGCCCTGCATGCTGCTTGTGTTTGCCACTGTCTGTGGTCTTGCCCGTTAGAACAAGAGTACGGTCTAACATTGGAGTATGGTCTAACATGTCATTGCTCCTGGCCTGAGCTGGCACACGGTGCTGGCAGAGCATTATGTGAAGGAGAGCGTTAAGAGCTGACTCCTGGTAAAGAGCTCTCAGCACCCACGTGCTCGCTTACAGGTACTGGTTGGAACTGGAGTTGGAGTTCTTACCGGTACTGAGTTGGAACTGAAATGTGCTGTGACTTCTCCAATGATTCTCATGTTTTGTAAGAAATTAAATGCAAACCTAGAGTCTGTTTCTAGACATAGCGACAGTAGCAACTATCCAGTCGGTATTAATCGTTACACCTCCCAGCCAAGCTCAAAGGGAGAGAAGCAGCAAATATATTATACCTGCCTATATAATACTAACATATTCTAGTACTTCTGTGCTCCTGTCACTTAAAGGTGGTTGGATTAGGTGTATTTGCAACCGTGGTTGCCTTTAATGCCAATTATAGCTGCAGTTCATCAATAACTTCTGCTTAGAAGTTGATCCCGAACAGACAGGCTTGGCAACTTGGACTATAAGGCTAGTCTTTGGAACGGAAAGCCTCTCTTCCAGAAGAGTTAGTCCCTAGCCTTTCAAAGCTGAAGTAATGCAGACATTTCTGTACTTTGGTAGAGGATTGGAAATTTAAATTTTATGTACAGTCTTTGAAAGTCTGGATGTGAGTTTCTGCCATACTACCTCTGGTATGTGTCAGACCTGCATGACAAGGACTAATGTTTCAGCTGGAATAAGAGCCCTTCTCTTGGGTGTTTTAAGTGTCTCAGGATCTTAACTGGAAAAGGCAGGATGATGGGGGAAGAGAGTATTGTCCATGTCTCAGAGAAGAGGAGAATTAAGATGCAGGAGAATTAACATGGCCTAGATCACTTGGTAAATCTGTAGCTGAGCTGGGAATCAAACCTACATCTCCTGGCAGCCAGTGCAGGGGTTTTAGCTTTAAGGCTATTTGGAATAGTCAAGATCCTTTTAATAAAGGGCAGAAAGCTAGACTTCAGTTAATTTTAAGCATTTTTTTTTAACACGTCATTGGGAAACTCATAATGTAAGTAATAACTGACATGTAAATTTGATGTCTTTGGAGGCTGAGAGAAAAATAAAAGTAGATTAGACTTTAGCACTGAATTTTCCACAGAGTATTCAAGAATTAGGAAGCGGTTTATGACTAGAAAAGTTAACTCTATTTTTAGATTCCTTTGTTGATGAATGTGGGTTTTTTTTTTCTTTTTTTCCTTCTATATTAATGCACAGGATAGGGATTACAACTAATTAAAATCCTTTCAGGAGCTTTAGTCTTCAGTTTGTGAATCCATGCCCTTTAGGCATGACAGCATTAACATTTGGATTATAAATATTTTAACCTGCACAATGCTTAAGATGATGCTGCCCTAAAGCAAGTGAGTTGCTTGATTTACAGGTCATCTGTCCAGTCCTACGAACCTGAATGCTGGGGTGAGAGGACAGGGCAAGATGGATTGTAGCAGTGTAGGGAGGTAGGTAAAGCCTTGGCTTAATTGCATTTCAAAATTGTGATTACAGTTGGTACTAGAGATCGGTGTTGTGGAAGAGGAAAATCTTTACGAGGGGATTTATACAGCTAAGGCACATTTGACAAGACTTGTTCAGAGCATTATTGAAATTGTTGCATGTCTTAATTTGCGTCTGACCCGAGGCACTGATGGTGTCACGGAAGGGGGATGTACTCATCAGCTGTGCCCTTAAATAACGTCCATGCACACAGATCTTTGTCCTCGGGAGCAGAGGAGATGGCCTGTGTGGTGCTGGCAGCCAGAACCCTCCTGCTGAAAAGCCCCTCGGCCTGAGGGATGGGGCAGCAGCTCTGGGAGGTGTCTGCGGGCCCAGGGCTGCAGTGGGCAGCAGCGGCTCCGCAGCCCTTTGGTGACAGGGGTTGGGCTGCCAGCGGCCTGGCTGCCACCATGGGAGGTGACCCCCACGGGGGAGCTACACTGGCACTGCTGGGAAACCACCTGTGATTCGGACCTGGAGTCTGATCTGGAGCTGGGGCCTGCGAGCTCAGAGCGTGCTGGTCATACACCCGGTGCCTCTAGACAGCTTCGTTCTTTAGCAAGTAGATGGTTTTGATGGGTGGCAGCTCCCTGAGCTTGCTTGGTAATGAATGTTCTTACATGGAAATTAGAATTGAGAAATTTAAAAGGAACTGCTGTAGCATGTTTCCTGCTACTGCTGGGAGTAGATAAAATGGGAGTTTAAGCCAAGTAAGTTAGATTATACCTTTCTTGCCTTTAATTTACCTTTTTGTTGCAATGTTTGGCATAGGTCAGTCAGACTATAGGATTAAGATCTTCTTAACAGTGATAATTATACAGCTGGCATTCAGTTTATCTGTTGTTCACATCTAGCAAAGTCTTAGGGTTTTTATTTTAAGAATGCTTATAGTCCTGTTACTCTTAAAAGGTGCTAAACAAAATCTACAGGGTAAGTCATCTTTTTGAAAGGATTATTCTCACCACAAAACAGGTGTCAAAGCTTGTGGCATCCAGAACTATTGATGGGAGGGAGGGTAGCATTCCTATCTTTCAGACTTTACCACTCGACTACAGGAAATCCTCGTTCTGTTGTTGAAGTCTCTAGTGCTCCGACAGCCAAGTAAGGGTCTTTGTATTTTCTTACATGGTGGGTGCAGTGACAGCAGCTGCCTGGGGGCAGCACCCGAGTCAGGAGGGGCTGTCTGTCCCTGCGGAGAGGGGAAACCAGCCTGGGAAACTCTTGGGCTGTTCTAGCTGAGATGCATGTACATCCTCTCCTGATGTACAGTCCTGGACAGTGCCAGAAGTAAAATCTACTACTTAGATTTTTGTAACATTTGCTTAGGGTTTACAGAGTACAGTAACTAAAATGTGGTAAAATACTACTTTGGACATATTTCCTAGACTTGATTGCCTGCTTAGTAAATCTTAGCAATTTCAGTGCCTTGTTTCACCTTGTATCAGAATTCCAGGTAATTCTGTGGGAAGGAATCTTGTTCAAACAGTGATGTGGCACCCCTGCTCCCATCTTGCGTGTTAAGTAGGAGCCCCTCTCTGCTCCCTCGTGCCCCTGCGCCCCCAGAATTGACACAAACCGTGGTAAGGGGGGGCAAGACCCAGACAAGCCCGAGGCCTCTGCTGAGCTAGCCCTTGCCCTTCTACTGCCTGACAGGGCGTTAATTTTCATTGTTAAAGCATTAGAAAGAGAAGATGAGACTTGTAGGTGCTGCTCGAAAGGGAGGTCGTACCCTCTTTGCTGTGTTAGAGTACATAAAAGGTTTTTTAATAAGTTGTTTCATTTTGGTAGTGTCTAGTGCAATCTGTTCAAGGTTTTGCTGCCTCCCACCCTCTCAGAGGAGATTTATCTGACAGCAGAGATGCCAAAGATCTCTCTGTGCTTCTCTAGGCAGGGCAGTGCGGATGAGTTAGAGGGAGCCGAGTTGCGGTTACTCTCTGCTGCTTGCTGGGAGTTATCTGCTTTGTTACAGCCTTGCAGATCGCCAGTCTGTCTTAAAATTGAACATAACCAATTTCTTACTAAGACAGGCCTGGAGGCTCTCTGTCAACGGGCAGAGTTGATCCTTGCTTACCCTGCGCCATCTTTCACTTCCACCATCTTTCTCCAAGGAGTGACCTTTTGGGCAGGTGCAGGAGCTGTTCTCGAGAAGAACGCTTTTGCAGGTGGTCAATTTAATAGTTAATTTAAGACTGAAAACTCACCCCAGCGCTTTTTAGTATAAATAGGTCAATCGGCTGCTACTGCAGCCGCTTCTCTGAGTTGGAAAACCTCCGAGCAGCCCTGCGCAAAGCTTCACCTCAGGCTCAGAGCTGCCCGGCCCGGCCTTCCCGGCGCTGCCCTCTGGGTG